CAACATTAAACCATTTAATCATGACAATAAGACAACATTATCGATCGTTTTAGTCTTAATTCCGTTAAATTTGGTGTCATTTTTATAACTCCTTTGGTATGAAATTGAGTATTATGTTTATTATCGATTTAATAATGTTTTTGTATGCCTCGAGTACAAATGTTCAAAATTTGAACTTTGCTAACAAATTACGGGATTGTCTGCATCTTGAATATAAAAAGTTGATTGTATCGAGTCGAAGAATATGCTCGAATACCTTTCATTTGAAATTTATAATTACTTATAAGTCGACCAAACTAATTAGTAATTAGCCGAACTTTACCTCATTACAAAGTAGGTAGGTATTTGAAATAAATAAAGTTTGGAAAGCGAACGAGAGCCGTACAGACCAAGAAAGGCAAAGAGGGGACACGAAAAGGAGGAATAATTTTTGTTTTTCCATAATGTAGTGCGTGTGCATGGTGCACGTGCAATAGATTGGGGCCCACGATTACACAATTACAAGCCCGACATGATCCATTGAGCTGGTGTCTACATTGACAAAAACTACAGCCAATCATGATTATTCATGCACTCCCACATTCAAATTATGTGTATAGACTAGAGCATGTTTGTCTATGATAATTTTTCTTATTGATAAAAGTTTAAAAATAAGTAAATTACATATTTTGGAGAAAAATATGATTTTCATTAACTCAATATCATCGCAGACTGCCATCGCAGAATTCAATTAACTCATTCAATCGTCACTGCACAACCCGAATTAAAACAACCACTCACAAATTTTTCATGACGATTTATATTTATTCTTGTTCCGAACTGTTTTCTTGCACAAGACGAATACTTGAGTAATTCGTTAGGATATTATGTAATAATAATAAACATAGAAATTGTTTGTATTATATGTTTTTGTTACAAAAATAAAATAACTAACAGCTAATGAACCTAACTGAAGTTCTAATTGCCTAATTTAAATCGATCTCATCCGTAAATAAATAAATAAAAGTTTTCTTTTAATTGTAGTTTGTGTTACTAACATGCAAAATTTTATAATAGAAAAAATTATCTTTTCTTTGGAGTGACATTTTAGACCTATTAACCGTAATTTAGATGAGATGTGGTTTGAAATGTGATAAAAGAGGGTGAAAATGATACTCTAAACTAAGAATAGGGATGTCTAAGCGTGTATTTGATTGCGAGTATGAAATTTGTATGGAAATAAAATAAATTCTAGGTAATTCAATTGCAATTATTAATTAAATGTGTTTGATTGATTTAGTTTTGAACCTAGAAAATATTATACTTGTTCATTTTTTATTAGTGAGTAAATGAAATAGAGAATTACCTGAAAATAGAATTCAAATATCCCTAAAAAAAATATTTTCCTTGTTCATATGGCCACTGACCAAAAGTAGAAAAATATTTTTCATTGAAAAAAATTGTCAGTCATATAGCACAAAAATATAAAATTAAGTGAAAAAAACCCTATATTTTATGGAAAATATTGAAAATCAAACACACCCTTATTATAAAACTTAGGGATAATTGCAGCAAAGGTCCCAAACCTTTCAAATTTTTGCGTACTTTACCCTAACCTTTGATTTGTGCCAAGGGAGGTCCCAAACCTTTCAAAAATATGCGCCGGAGGTCCAAACGGACGGATTCCATCCAGTTGACCGTTAGTCAACCCAAAAAGTCAAAATTGATTCAATTTTGACAAAATTAGGAGGGGTAAAATGGTACTTTCAATTTTTCTCATTTTAAATAGGTTAAAATATTTATTCAAAAACCAAAAAATAAAAATCTATTTATAACACTCCTTCCTCCTACCCCACTCCGATCGTCAGCACCACGGCCCCAAAGCTGGCCACCACCGCCGCCGGCACGTTGCCGGTACCACCCCTATCTCCTTCCCCAACCCCACTCTCTCCACCCCTAAAATGCTACCACCATAATCAAACCAAAACCTAAACCCAAAAAATAAAAATAAAAACCCAAAAAAGCACCTGCAATCACTCTCCTACCCGGCACCACCACAGAAATTAGTGCTCGAATTCATAACAATGGCGAAAAATTTCAAGTTACGAATCACCAGGGTGATCACTACTACCTTGCAATCTTGCAGTTCAAAAGACCCCTCAACTCTCCCGGAAGATCATGTCCCTTCATTTTCACGACTTTCTCCAGGGAACCTCAAATATACAGTCGTCAATTTTCCGGTATCCAAAGATCAAAACCATCATCCTTCCTTTAAAGGACACGTGTCTTCTACTTTCACATCGGCCGGTTGTGGTTGGGCCTCCATGCCGGATGCAAAAATCACTTCCGATGAAGACTGCACCAGATCAGAACCCCAAGAATTCAAGTGGAAAAAGGATGAGAAATGGCACGTTGTTGCTAAGATCTATGAGGAAAAAACGCAAAGGCGGAAAATCTACAACTCCTCTGCTTCCGGCTGCTCCAAGGATGATGACTTAACTTTTGCAGAGCCTGGTGCACTGCCGCCGCCGCCATCCGTGGTGGAGAAGAAGAAAAGACGAGGGAAGAAGAAGAACATCCCTTGCAGGCTTCGAATTAGTACCTCATCGGCCAATAGTGGGAGGAAGGAGTGCTATAAATTGATTTTTGTTTTTTGGGTTTTTAATAAATATTT